GTACGATAAAAAATGAGATTGACTTTATTATGAAGACGAGACGGTAACTGTTCAGTGATGTCTCACTGATCGCAAGGATGAAAACTGGCAGTGATCACCGAATGGTTAAAGGTACACTGAACCTAAACGTTAAGTTGAAGAGGTCTCGTCTAAAGAAGTCAACGCTCCGTCCCCCTCGTGCTCTAATCCAGAATTCCGAAACCTTTCAACTCGAGTTACGTAACCGCTTTCAGTGCCTAGAAGATTGCTGCAACAATGCAGTGGACGATATGAATGACAAGCTCGTGGAAACTGTCCATGCGGTCGGAGCTAAGTTCTGCAAGACCCGCCGCTGAAGAACACAAAAACTCTCCGATCACACTCTTAATCTCATGGCTGTTAGACGGGAGATGAGGCTGCAATCGTAAACAGATTTGACAGCATACAGGCAACTGAACAGACAGATCTCCAACTGCATGCGGCGAGACTTAAGCGGGCTACATACGACACGATATCGGTGGCGATCTAGGGTGGAGTAGTGGGGATGCCTCCTAGATTGCCTCTAAATCATGTCGTATGTAGGGCCATCCTAAGTCGTGGCCGATATCGCCTCCTTAATCGGCTGGCAGGAGCAAAAATGCTTCCTAGATCAGCCGATGCTTCCTAGATCGGGGCACCGCCCCCTCCTTACTGCGTGTGTGTAGGCGCATCGGCCCGATTTCTTTTGGCAGTCGCTGCCGGCAATCCTCGCGGAAGGAAGTTAACAAAACAGTGATACTGAATGACCTTTTTTATGTAACAAAATTTTTACATTTTAATCATATAAACGGAGTAGAAGCCTATGGCACTGATATTTTACAAAAAACCGCAAAAAAGTGAATAAAATAAATAAATTAATTGAAATTTTATCGAAATTCAAATCATATCCACCCTAGCCTGTGACCCTGCGAAGTGACATGGTCAAGAATGCCTACTAAACTATTTTTTTTATTGCCGTTCGTAAAGTAGAGTGTATGATGTAAGTAAGGAGAAGATAAAGCCTCTCCTCAACAACTAACTCCTATTCCAACGCTATCAACACAAGACCACACTCATATCTCTTACAACTCCACAAGACCACACTTCGATCTCTTACGTGCCTTCATCCTCTTATCAACAACTAACTTCTACTCCTTCACCATCTCCACGTCAACAAACAAGTTATATAAAAGGGAGTATGTCCGAAATTAAAGGTTTCTTTATGTTTAAAAAAAAGATATAAGCTATTTTATTTTCTGATAGTTTTAGTCCATAAATAAAGATTACATTAAAAAAAGTATACATATTATTATACAAAAGTATTTTATTTCCTTGTTTGTTGTGTGTAATACATAACCAGATTTTGACCAAAGCAGAAATGAACAAAGAGAAGAAATAACTAAATAGCATAGGTAGGAGAAATTGACGTTTTTATATAAGTGGCGAAATCATTTCTAGAAGGTTATAAAAACTGTCTTCATCCATCCGGAGAAAATTAATCACGTCCTTGGATTACAGGCCATTTAGTACGTTTATGTGGCTTAATTTTTATCTCTTTTGGAGCCATTTTTCCACCCAGCAACTTCTCTTTTTCTATTTTCGAATAAATTTACCGAGAGGGCTAATGCCAAACCAACACGTTGGTGTTTTAAGAGAATTGAAGCTATTTTGAAGAAATCTACCGCATATGCGTTCCGCTCCAAGTCCGAACGCATACTGCTAGGCAGGCCCGTGTGTAGGGTCTGCCCCGATAAAAGCCCCGATTTCTTTCCACCCTAGATCGCCACCGATATAGTGTCGTATGTAGCCCGCTTTACGCAACTTTAATATTGCTCGTATTGAAGAAGCGATCGAATGGAACCAGGGCTCCAAAGTCTTTGAAGAATGAGTGTGGCAACACCGTTTCCGGGACACCTAAAATTTTGAGTGAGATTGAGAGTTTCTATGAGCTGCTGAACATATTATCGTTGGAGCCACACGCAAGTATGAGTAACGATGCAAGAGCAAGTCTAATCCGACACTATTCCGATGATATCCCGAAAGTCAGTCTGAGCAAGAAAAGAAGGCTCTCTATCACGTTAAAAACGGCAATGTCCCAGGTGAAGATTGAATTACAGCGGAGTTTTTGAAAGCGGGCGGAAAACCGGTACTTAAAGTCCTTCAAAATCTCTTCAATTTCGTCCTTCATGGTGGCACTACTCGGAGGCTTGATGCAGAAGTGCAGTGCTCTTGTTTTTAAAGAAAGGCGATTACGCTCTCTTGAAGAACTACAGGCCGATTTCCCTTCTGAGCCGCGTCTGCGTGCCGTTTTCGAGAGTCATTACGAATCGTCTCGCACGCAGACTCGACGACTCCCAGCCTCCCGAAAAAGCCGGTTTCCGAAAAGGCTTCAGTACCATAGATCACATAAATACCCTGCGGCAGATTGTACGTAAGACCGAAGAGTACAATCCGCCACTTTACCTGGCGTGTACCGCCAACCGGTAACAACCGTAACCGTATATGAGAAAGCATTTCGATTGCATGTTGATTCCGTCGAAATTTGGGCGGTGCTACGGTCCCTTCAGCGGTGCCAAGTTGACTGTCGGTATATCGAAGTGCTGAAGTGTTTGTACAGTAGGGCTACAATGCTAAGTGCTGTTTTCGAGTCATTACGAATCATATTCAACTGCAGAGAGGTGTAAGACAGGTTGACGTTATATCACCCATACTCTTCACCGCCGCATTGGAAGATGTTTTCGAGCTACTGAATTGGAAAGGTATTAACATCAATGGCGAGTACATTACTCACATTCGATTTGCCGACGATATAGTCTTTATGGTGGAATCGCTGGAGGATCTAAGCAATATACTCAATGATCTCAATAGTGTATCCTAACGTATAGGTTTTAAGATGAACATGGACAAAACAAAGATCATGTGTAATGTTCATGTCACGCCTATGCTGGTAGTTGTTGGGAGCACTAAGCTCGAAGTTGTTGACGAGTACGTTTGCCTGGGACAAATAGTCCGACCAGGTAAGTCTAACTTCGACCGAGAGGTCTTCAGGAGAGTTCAACTCGACTGGGCAGCGTTCGAGAGATTACGACACATCTTCTCGTGAGGTATACCTCAAAACATAAAAACTAGATTGTACACCAGTGCATGTTGCCAGCGATGACTTACGGATCTGAGACATGTTCCTTTAACTGCTGGCCGTATGAGGACGATCATGGTCGCTCAGCAAGCTATGGAGAGGGCTTTGCTCGGGGTTTCTCTGCGCGATAAACTTAGAAACCGCAGTAGAACCAGGGCAATCGACATAGCCCAATGTATTAGTAAGCTGAAGTGGCAATGGGCCGGCCATTCGGCCCGAAGAATCGATAACTGATGGGGAAAAAAGGTTCTCGAGTGGCAGTCTCGTACCGGTAGGCGTAGTGTAGGCCCACTAGACGGAATGATGACCTGGTAAGACATGCAGGAAGTCGATGGATGCAGGTGGCTCAGGACCGTGCTTTGTGGCATTCCTTGAGGGAGACCTATGTTCAGCAGTGGACTTGTGAAGGGATATAATGATGATAATGATGAAGCTAAAATGTCATTTCTTTGATCCTTTTCTTCTCGTTGGATAGCCATGCAATGTAAACATTCAGAGCGATGTTTATCTTTCTCCGGGTGTTTTCTACTTTAGGGCGTAGAGCAGAAGGAGTCCTTGGTCGTTCCGAATTCACAAAAATATCTAGGGAATGATGGTGCTTATTCTGACACATGATGACTGGTTCTGAAATAAATCATATTCAATCATATCATCACTCACAACTCGAAAAATTACGTTCGTTCGGCCTCAATCTAAAAAAGTATAAAGATATACAAAGTTGTATAATTGACGATATCAAGAAATGCTTAATGAGTTTGTACCTACTTTTATCCATCTTTACGACAATCTAATTGTAAAGTTATAACAAAGCACACATTATAACAAGCAGTTCACGCCGTAAGATTATGGAACTCACTACCGTCAAATAATATAAGAAATTCCGACACTTTGTTGGTATTCAAGAAACGTCTTAGAGATAACTACTTTGCATCCTGTTAATTTATATATATTATTCTATTATATTAGTTTTAGTTTATGTATATATATATATATATAACTATCGTATTTATTATTATTATTATTTATTGATTTATTTTATTTTTATTTATTGTCTCATTTTATATAATTTACGTAACATTGTGTATATTATTTATTTTTTAATAGTACTAATGTATGTACTAAGTTTGCAATTTCAATATAATTTCCTTTATGGGTCTACTGGAAGATATTTCAGCTAATTTGGAATAAGTAGAACCTTTGTACGAAATTACTATAAGACTGCTTCTGTATCTTAATGTGTGTACATAAAATAAATTAAAAAAAGCACACTTGTGATTAAGTTGACAATCAAAGTATACGCGGAAACATGAATGGCGGCAAAATGGCAAAACAATCAACTTTGTTTAGCTGCCGAGACACGAATATCCGTAAATTTTCGATCAAGTACCTACTCTCTTACCAATGCGGCCGACACTGCGTGAAGTCTCGGCGCGAGCGGCGGCGTACAATTTCTTTGTTTATACTTTATACCTTTATTTTATAATTTAGATACTTGAAAAAGTAATGGTACAGTTACTTTAAGGTATAGTAATTTAAAGGTACCTTTATTTTAAGGTATCGAAATTTAAAGGTATGACGTCATACCGCTTATCGTCTGTACCATAATTTTTTCGGTTATTCAATCCCTGGTTGAAAACTTTTTTACGTTGGAAACCGTCGGCTAAAGGCCTGGTTTACATTTTGTGACAAGTGTGAGTGGCAAGTGCAACTGGTAAATGACAAGTGCTTAGTGCGTGTGAACAGGCATTGACAAGTGATAAGTGTGAATAAGATACGCATTAAGCACTTGTCATTTGCATTTGCCACTCGCACTTGTCACTTCTCAAAATGTAAACCGGGGCTAAGAGTGCGGTGTCGCTTGGCGCAGGCTGGGGCGCACGCTGGTGGTGACGGAGGTGCAGAGCGCGGCCGAGCTGTGCGTGCCGGCGCGCGCGCGCTGTCTGCTGCTGAGCCGCGCGCCCGCGCCCGCCGGCCCCTCCGCGGCGCTGTCGCCGGTGCGCTTCACTGCAAGCCTCCACGGACTCACCGGTTCGACAGAATCCTCCTCATTATCACTACCTTCAGACTGATAGGCTCTTTGTGTGACGTAAGACAAATGACTACGCAATATCATCTCGCGGGTGTTGTAAGACGCGACAGAGATAAACTGAAACAGAAGATGGGCAGCAGTATCTATCTCTCTCGACTATCGCCGTCGGCATTATAAATACTTACACATAAGTTTACACTTTCGTCTATATTACACAAATTTTTATACCATCCATAGAGAATAAACTAACTGTTCCGCCACATATTGTAGTCATCATCATTATCAATATGATTATTATTCGCCTACAACCACTTCACCTATTATTGAAAATTTCTGGATACTACTACCACTACCTGGAGCCAATATTCGGACAAGACACAAATTGTTTGTTTTCGGTTCTCGTTGTATAATAATTATCACCCTGTATTTGGTTAATAACTCACTCGGTGCTCTCTATACCTATAAAAATTCTCGGAGTTGATGCAAAGCAATACATGTCTGCTACACATACTCTATAGAACGACCAGTTTCATAAACCGATATATCGAGGGAACATAAGCACCTAATTGTTTTCATCAGGAAGAAAATCCTTTTTTTTATAGGATAAGGGTGACAAACCAGCACATAGTCTACCTGATGGTTAGTGATTGCTGTAGCCAATAGGCATTTAAGTACATCTACATCTATCCTCGATTACGAATCAAAATGCAGATGCGTTGTCACCCCTGAGGACTAAAACGGAATGTCTCATTTCTAGTAAAAAGTGTCTCCTGTTTTCTACACTCACCGTACGAAACACAGCAGTATTAAGCTGCTATTTTACAGGTATTCTGTGAGAGCGTGGTCCTTCACAATTGTGCTACAACTATACAACTAATGTAACCGCAGCATGGCTGTAATACGTAGAAAATACTATTTAGTTCTTATAAAATAAATATGATAGTGAACATTCTATATTGTTTCAGATCAATTAGTACATTACGCGTTGCAGCAACTAAACCCCGAAGTCAACAAAAAAACCAAGGAGATCAAAATAAAGAAAGCAACATTACAAAAACAACAGTACGAGCTGCAGGTAATTTTAATTAAACATTAATGCGTAATAATAGTTGCGATATTTTTTATTCTCCTGTTTTTAAAAGGATTTTTGTCAGGTTTCATCGCGGAAATCTCAATAAAAATTATGACATCGTCTCCGGACTAATTCTATTCGATATGTACTTAAGTTTTCATAAAGATTGGTTGGAAAATTAGTCGTCAAACGGGAAGTTGATAGCAAGGTAGTACCGAATCATACCGACAAAGTTTTTTTTTAAATTTATTTTTAAAGTCATTTATTGTTAGTTAGCACATTTCGCGAAAGTATAATGAAATTGTCAATTAATTAACATCTCAGTCGAATATTAGTGTTTTCGTTACTATATTAACAATATCATATTCGTTCTGTAACTTCATATCATTTAAATGTAATAAACATTAAATTGGTGTAATACAGAACAAGCGTTCAAATAATTACTCAGGTATATTGTGTCTGTTTACAATTTATGTATGTCACAAATCACAATACCGGCGAAAATGCAAGTATGGGTTTTAACAAAACAAGAAATAAAAGAAGTCCTGTATCTTATTTTTCTATTGTTAAAGGAAAATCTCCTAAAAGAGTTATCAAAGAACAGCGACATCTTGCACGATTCTAATTTGCTGGCGTCATTAAACAACACACGGACTACAACCAACACCATAAGAGAAGCTCTGAATGCGGCTCAAGCGCTGGAGACTACAACCCATGCAGCGTACCAAGTGTACGAGCCTATCGCAGCCCGCGCCGCCCAACTGGCACTCGCTGTGAAAGAACTCGCAGTGCAGCGCCCTCTAGTGTCCCTGCCTATAGACACTATACAGGAGGTTTTCGTTGATGCCATTCGCAAATCCGGAGTAAGTAAAAGGTTTTATTAAAGTGATCCTGGCCAACACAATATTATTTAAAGGTATTGAAATTGACACTTACCTAGATGTTTCTTTCATTTGCGGTATTTTGTCTAATAAAATAATGTACACTAACAATTTTTAGATTAAAAGTAAAGAGATACGTACCTACCACTATTTATAGTAGTAAATTTTGATTAAATTATGATTAAATTTTATTTAAGGACCTCAAAAGTGTTAATCCCGACGAAATCATGAAGTACTTGACACGGCGTATAATGGAAAGAGTTCTATTGAGCGTGCACAAAAAAGACAAGTACATAGTGGTGTTGCATCTGTTGAAGCGAGTGTATGATGAGCTAATACCAGAAAATGTAAGTATTTATTCTATGAGCACTCAATCCAACCATCCTCCTTAAACAGCTTACTGCTGGACTTGAACCTCTCCCGTAGTCGAGAACTGGTTTCTAATGATGTTAATGCTGTTAGCCTTTTGGTTTATTTACCTTCATAGGTCTCACCTGTACAAACTGTACTGTACTACAAAATGAATTTAAATATTTCCGTATCGTTACTTGCGTAACGATGAACCAGTGCACGTGGATGAGTATTCTAACGGACGTCCGAACAGGAGGTGGTGGCACCGGCTCTGACGGCTAACTCGTGTCGTTCGATGTTCTGGGCGGTGAAAACCGCCCAGGGACGCATGGACGTACGGTGTGTACGCGGTGTGGAGGCGTTTGCGATGCGCCCGTGTGCGGACTCGCTATGTCCCATCCGTTGTCCTAACAGTATTTGTGGCACTGGGTGAATGTGTAGTATCTATGTGTGACGGACCGGCGACATTTGTGTCGTCGGGATCTAGCGGTACCATAGTCCAGAGTACTTACCGTAATCGTAACCACCATGTATCGAAAGCTATGAGGTCCCATAATGATGTTTATGACATAACACACGCAACGGTATGTGGTGATGGATTCTCTTAAGACATTGAAACATGGAATTTTATTCATATACAGTCAAAACCGTTATAACGACATCAAAAGGACTTCTCATATTTGGTCGTAAAAACCGATAGTCGTAACAACCGGTGATATTTTTGAGGTACATTACAAAGAATTTTTTATTGAGTAGTATTATTGGATGTGTAGGTACATATAAATTGCACATAAAACGTATAATATGAAAGAATATTTATTTTTCTGTTTTCTTTTTTTTTTTTTTTTCTTTGGTGTTTTGTAGTTCACGTTTCTTTTAGTGTCGTCATTTTCAGTAATTCGTTAAATATTTTGTAACTAACATTCATTGGGTTCTCGACTCTTCCTGTTCGTCGTCATATTTCTCCCGAACGTCCTATACAATATTATCATCCGTAGCTGGTGCACAAATTGCAATAGAGTTTTCTACATCAAATAAATAACTCTTCTGCTTCAGTAGTAGATAAAGCAGGTTGTAAATTTTGGTCTAATTTTGCCAAAGAAATATTGTCCTCTTCATCATCATCATCATCATCAGTCACAATATCTAAGGATATTCTTAAGAAGTCTAAAATTTAGACTTCTTTAGACTCTATAGCTGTTGGCCACAGTTTTTGTGAAACTTTTTCCCAAGCTTCTGATATCATCAAGATGCCATCAAGAACCGTGAAGCTTTTCTGGTCATAATATCGAGGTTTTGTTTTAACTTTAAGGGTCAGTTCACACCGAGACGTGACGCGATGTGACGCGGCGCACACTTTTGAAGGGAGTGATACAAAGTATAACTTCATTTACTATACAAAAAGATATACATTTTATTGAGGCAATTCTAAAATGCCCCGCGGCGTCGTTTTGCACTTCGAGATGCCTCGAGGCGTAGCGCGGTGCATCACAAGGCAGCGGCGCTTCGTCGGTAGAGGCGCAGCGTGCAAGTGCAGTGCGCTGCCAGCGACTTCACGATGCGCCTCGCGACATCACGATGCGTCTCGCAGCGCCGCGGTGCGTTGAGCGAAACCACTGCCCTCTTCATGTATCGACGCGTTGTTTCGCATATCGGTGTGAACTGACCCTAACACTTGCAGTCTTCTGTAATGAGATTTTAAACATTTTATTACACCCTGGTCCATAGGTTTCATTACAGATGTAACATTTGGTGGTAAGAACATGCGCTTAATGCACTTCAGATTAGTAATACCCATGCTTGATATACATTCTTCTACAACACCATTATCAACAGCCGAATCCAGAAATGTTAATCCCAACTAGACGAGCAAACGAAATCTTCACCAAAACGCTGAGCAAAATCGTTTGCTTTTTGTTGAAGAATTGGTACATTTATTGGCACATTATTTGTTCTTTGATATTTAAACCACTTCAACAAAGCTTCCTCAATATTCGTATGCTTCGTTGTTTAAAAAACTTGGGTATTCTTTGAATTTTTCTTTTCTTTCTAATTATAGAAATTGTCGAACTATCTTTTTTGGTGTGGAATTTCGTTTAGCATTCTAATACATTTTTCTTCGATATTGATTTGTTTTCTTTTTCTTTGCGACATGTCACTCGCTTTAAATCAAAGTCATGTAAGTATTCCGGTCTATCACTACCACTTAAATGTCTTTGACTCTAGCTGACTAGCCTCGACTTTGTACCTTTGTGGAGGGTTGTGTGCGTCATTCACACCCCTATGACCTTTTAATTTGATGTTGTTTATATTTCCATCAACTTTAAGGCAAAAGTGAATATGCTTTTGTCGACAGTGCTATTTACCATCTAGACTCTAGTTCATCACCGCTTACAACCGGGTGGAATTGTATTCAAGCACTGCCTTATAGGTAATAATTAAAAAAGTAGTTTTAGTAAATCCATTTTGTACTCATAAATATAATATTTTTATTGCTTTTTTAAACAAATGATATCTTCATTTTTGTTTTAAAATATTTTTATAATTAGTAGTAGTTTTGAACAGGCACTAGTAGAAGTTAATGTTAATAAAAATTGTACCATTTTGCAGCTGTGGAACATATTCATTGGGAACTTCAATATAATCGAAGATCAGAATACAATAAATGAAATAAAACTGGATTATCCGTGGGTGCCTGAAGACCATATTAGGAAATTAGCTCTACTGAAGGTTTGAGATTTGAATATAATATTTGAACACCTACACCTGCACTAATATATATATATATATATATATATATATATATATATATATATTTTTTTTTTTTAATATCCATCCATCAGTGATTAAATTAAAAAAGCCGTATTTTCGTGTATTAGTCCTTTTCTTTAATTTTAGTTTTACGGGAAGTACCTATTCTATTGATTTTGGTACCATTTTCAACAGTATTAATCACTTTTTCTAATTTATTTTAAAAAACCAACAGTGAGTTGATAATTTTAAAGACCTAACGTATACAACTAAACTAAAGTTTAATAAACAAAATATGTTATGGACGGTATTATATAACTATTACATGGACTTATATGTGTATGTATTATCACATCATCGTATAATCTACTCGAAGTTATCTACTTTATAATTTATTATCATCATAAACATTTTAACAGCTCACTGCTGGTCACGCTTAGTACCTACTTTCTTATTTATTTTCAGTTCATTAGATTAGAAAAAAGTTTATTTGACCCTTCCAAACAAACTATAGGTGGGGGGGGGGGACGATTGAATAATTACATAACGCATGAGCTCATGGGGATAAGTGTTTATTCTCATTTCTCAGTATTGAGCGACCCAAGTTCTATCCTCGCCTGTGCCAATAAAATTGCGACTTTAAGTTCGACGTGCCTGGCGGCGAAAGTGAACTCCGCGAGAAAACCTTCATGCCTAAAAATTATTTCATACACTTGTAAAGGCCACCAACACATGTGGTAGGTAAAGGTCATGTGTTGGCGGCACACAGGTGGACATTATCCTTTTCTAAAAACCCTTTTAGAAAAAGATGTATGTAACAGTAAAACATATGTAGGCTATATGTAGCAAATATTTCGTAAATATTTTAAACTACAAAAAACTAAAACGCCTATAGCTCAACTGTAAATAAAATATTTTTGGCAACGTCAAAAATAGCACAACTATATCTGTTTAAAGTTTGACCCTCTTCTTCTTTTTGTTGCTTTATGACTGCAGGAAAGGCCGGAAAACAAAGATTAAAGTTACAATCTATTTACGTCGCACTGCTGGGCACAGGCTTCCTCTCATTTCTGTGAAGATTTTTTTAACACAAGCGGTTGTCTGGCGTGGCGTGTTGCCGGACTTCACAATTTGGCGGCTGGAATTAATCCGAACAATAGTATCAAAGTACTCCCCGCGGAAGATGCAATAATAAATGCAAAGGGATGCAACATCCCTACGCAGCATCAGTGAATGGAGCCGATCAGAAAGAACTCGATCATCGACGATTCGAACCGCTCTGCGTTGGATGCGGTCAAGTGGAAGGAGCTGGCCCTAGGGTGCCCAGGCTCAGAGACTAGAAGAGTATTCCATGTGAAGCCGAACTCGCGCTTCGTAAAGTAACAAGCGATGTGCTGGCTTCATACTATCTCGCTCTGCTGAGCCAAGCTTTTTAAAGGCCAATTTGACCTTCCCTTACAAGAGACCACGACACTGCACACTATTTGATATGTCGACGCCAAGGATTCCGATGTTAGCTGAGGCAGCAAAGGGAGTACCTTAAAACTGAGGAGATACGACATAGGGTTTCTTTTTAGCGGTTAACGCGCAAACTTGTGTCTTCTGAGGATTGAACTGGACTAGATTTAGTCGCCCCCAATCCGAGACTATGTCCTGCAAAGACTCTACTTCAGACACAGGTTTGTTACGTTGCTTGGCGATGTTTTCCCTAGAAATATTGGCACAGCCGGTATATAAGGCACCACTAGTGCTGTCGGCTGCGTACCAATGAACCTTACCAATTAGCAACATATCATTGATATAATGATTTCTTAAATTTACGCGAACACTACACATTGAATAAAACTATTATTTACGGATTTTTTCGCGTTTAATTACTTTAATTTATTTTTATTATTATCCCGACGTTTCGGGTGCTTTACAGCGCCCATGGTCACGGGGGGGACTGAGCTGTTTGACGTCCCAATGTCATAGTTAGTCCGGCTACCTTCAGTTTTTTAATATTAATTTTTTGGTCCGATTTACGCAAAACGAGCTTATAGTATCATGAAGTCTTGCAGTGGTATGCTTGGGTTTGGGTTTATTTTTGTTAATTATAGGATCCCAAGCAGATGGTAGCACCCAACCATCTTCTCTATTGAAGTTTGGATGTTTTTTAATTTCAATAGCCTCGCGTATCATCCTTGGTAGGAATCGGTGTTCTTTTGCGAGAATTTGTGGTTTATCAAATCTAATGTAATGGTGGGGACGATCTTGAACATGTTCGCAGACTGCAGACTTCCCGGAGCGTCGGTGCTTCACATCAGCTATATGTTCCTTCACGCGGGTTTTTATAGATCTCTTTGTTTGACCTATGTAAGAGAGACCACATTCACAATCTAGCTTGTACACACCTGCATCTTGTAGAGGAATATTACATTTGATGGATGGTAAAAATTGACTAATCTTCTTCAGCGGCTTGTAGTATGTCTTAATGGACGCTCGCTTCAAGATGTAGCCAATCTTGTCCGTGACTCCTCTAACATATGGTAGTAGAGCAGGCGCGCGCTCGACTGTGGCCGGCTTCACTCGTTCACTGTGACGTAGGCGCGGGACCCGAAGCTTGTTGTCTTGCAATACTTGCTTGACGTGCTGAAGCTCCGCGGCCAGATGTTTTCTGTCACAGATCCCTCGTGCTCTCTGAAACAAAGATTTACCCACGGTAGCTAACTGTGAAGGATGATGTTGAGATTCACCATTTAAATATCGGTTGGTATGGGTCTTTTTCCTATACACAGTGTGAGCAATAGTGTTATCAGGATTTCGGATGACTAAAACATCTAGGAAAGCTAAAGAATTATTTGCCTCTAACTCCATTGTGAATTGTATTTTAGAGTTTATGGAGTTAAGGTGGTCTAAAAATGCAGTTACTTTGTCAGATGGTAAAATTGTGAAAGTGTCTTCTACGTACCGCTTGTAGAACCTTGGATTTACAGGAGCAGTAAGAAGGGCTTTCTCCTCAAAGTCTTCCATGAATATGTCGGCGACTATGGGAATATAATTTTAAAATACAACAACTTTTATCGGACGAAAGTACATATAAAAAGGTCAAAACAGACCCTACAACTAACACGCTTAAAACAACTAGCGATTTAATAAAGAAATACTCCGAAAAATTAAATCTCGACGTGAATTCGCTAATACCATCATGTGCCAAACCACCGAGGTTGTATGGGTTACCGAAGATACACAAACCAAACGCTCCACGACGTCCCATAGTGAGCCAGATCGATTCACCAACTTATAAGCTGGCACAATACTTAGCAAAAATACTTTCACCACTGAGAGGACATACCAGAGCACACACAAAGGATTCATACCATTTTGTGAGTGAGATAAAAGACCATCTCGCTGACAATAAAACTATGGTCAGTTTTGATGTTCAGTCACTATTTACATGCCTACCTATTGTGGACTGCATCTCAATTGTAACTAGGAAGCTAGAAGAAAATAACATGCCTCAAGAATATGCAATACTACTTGAACATTGCCTCACATCTGGCTATCTATTGTGGAAGGAGGAGTTCTACAAGCAAGTAGATGGTGTGGCGATGGGCTCACCTGTGTCTCCCATAGTCGCCGACATATTCATGGAAGACTTTGAGGAGAAAGCCCTTCTTACTGCTCCTGTAAATCCAAGGTTCTACAAGCGGTACGTAGACGACACTTTCACAATTTTACCATCTGACAAAGTAACTGCATTTTTAGACCACCTTAACTCCATAAACTCTAAAATACAATTCACAATGGAGTTAGAGGCAAATAATTCTTTAGCTTTCCTAGATGTTTTAGTCATCCGAAATCCTGATAACACTATTGCTCACACTGTGTATAGGAAAAAGACCCATACCAACCGATATTTAAATGGTGAATCTCACCATCATCCTGCACAGTTAGCTACCGTGGGTAAATCTTTGTTTCAGAGAGCACGAGGGATCTGTGACAGAAAACATCTGGCCGCGGAGCTTCAGCACGTCATGCAAGTATTGCAAGACAACAAGCTTCGGGTCCCGCGCCTACGTCACAGTGAACGAGTGAAGCCGGCCACAGTCGAGCGCGCGCCTGCTCTACTACCATATGTTAGAGGAGTCACGGACAAGATTGGCTACATCTTGAAGCGAGCGTCCATTAAGACATACTACAAGCCGCTGAAGAAGATTAGTCAATTTTTACCATCCATCAAATGTAATATTCCTCTACAAGATGCAGGTGTGTACAAGCTAGATTGTGAATGTGGTCTCTCTTACATAGGTCAAACAAAGAGATCTATAAAAACCCGCGTGAAGGAACATATAGCTGATGTGAAGCACCGACGCTCCGGGAAGTCTGCAGTCTGCGAACATGTTCAAGATCGTCCCCACCATTACATTAGATTTGATAAACCACAAATTCTCGCAAAAGAACACCGATTCCTACCAAGGATGATACGCGAGGCTATTGAAATTAAAAAAACATCCAAATTTCAATAGAGAAGATGGTTGGGTGCTACCATCTGCTTGGGATCCTATAATTAACAAAATTAAACCCAAACCCAAGCATACCACTGCAAGACTTCATGATACTATAAGCTCGTTTTGCGTAAATCGGACCAAAAATTAATATTAAAAAACTGAAGGTCGCCGGACTAACTATGACATTGGGACGTCAAACAGCTCAGTCCCCCCCCGTGACCATGGGCGCTGTAAAGCACCCGAAACGTCGGGATAATAATAAAAATAAATTAAAGTAATTAAACGCGAAAAAATCCGTAAATAATAGTTTTATTCAATATCATTGATATGCAAAAGAAACAGCGTTGGTGATAACGCGCAGCCTTGTGGAATACCAGCGTTAATAGGCTTGTAATCAGAGCATGCACCATCTACTACTAAATTGATGCTCCGATCAACAAGGAAACTGTTCATACAATTGCACAATTTCTCGGGAAGCCCATGGAAAGAGAGCTTCGAAAGAAGCCCTTTGTGCCAGACCCGATCGAAGGTCTTCGCTATGTCCAAACTAACTGCTAATGGGGAAGACCTTGGAATCTACTGGCTCCGCTCATCTGTGAGTCAGGTAGACCAGAATATCACCAGCTGATTGACCACAACGATAACCGTATTGGCGGAAACTAAAAATATATTATATATTTTTATATTATAAGGGTGGCAAACGATCACACAGTCCACCTGATGGTAAGTAGTTGTTGTGGGCCGTAGACATCTACATCTATTCTCGATAACGAATCAAAATGCAGATGCGTTATCATCCGTGAGGGCTAAGATGGAATGCCTCGTTTCCAGTATAAAATCTCCGGTTCTACACTCTACACAAAATACAGCAGCGTTAAGCTTTTATATGACGCTGGTATTCTCTGAGAGCGTGGTTCTTCCCCGCTTGAACTGACCCATTCGTGCTACAATTATAAAAGTAATATAGCTTCAGCATGGCCTACCACGTCAAAAACGTAAAATTGCAACAAATTCCCTAAAACAGTATGGTTTAAGCATACAAGTCACGGCATGTAAGTCTATCGCTGAATGAAACGTGAGAGGATAGCTGCGCATGTCGTATCAGTACGCCAATAGCCGTACCCGTACGCAAGTAGCAGTAGCCAATCAGCGCGTGCGGACGATACACACAGCCAATCAGCGCATGCGGACGATACGCATGTCCGCCCCGCGACCCGCTTACCACCCCATGATACCTTATTTTCGACTTATACACAATAACAGTCACCACTAGACTTTCGTGCTGCTACTTATACTAGACATTTAACACGTTGTAGAGCCATGCTGCAGCTATATTATGGTTGTGGCACAAATGGGTTGGCTCGATCTTGGTAGGACCACACTCTCACAGAATACCAGCGTAAAGTAACAGCTTAATGCTGTTATATTTCATATGGCATTCTTCATCTTAGTCTTCAGGGTAACAATGCATCTGCATTTTGATTCTTAATCAAGGTTAAATGTAGATGTCTATAGGCCTAGTATCCACTTACCATCAGCACTGTCAGGGACTGTGTGCTCGTTTGTCACCCTAATACTATAAAAATATACTACTTTCATTTGTGGTGAACATTTTACAAAAGAGCTGTAAATACTATTTGAAAAACAAAACTACGTCAAACGATTATGAAATTTCGGACACATTTTGCAACGCAACGCACAAAACGCAACGCAAATGAAATGAAGTAATCACAATCGAACCTTACCTTACGCGTGTATTTTTATTTTATTCGCTAATGTTTTAATTCATATTGACTCGTTTACATCTATTAATAAAACATTATCACATATTACAACGGAATTAGAATCAATGGGAAAAAAGCAAATTAAATTACTTCCACTAATAACATACATAAGCCTTGCTAATAATGACATCGTACATTGAATATCATGGTCTACCATTACAGAGTAATAATGAAGAGTTCTTTATGAAGATGTCATTAGACAAAGAAGCGTTGTGGACCGAATTCCAACGCTCTGGCAATTTAAATACTTTAAATAAACTCCAGCTAAACGCTTTCGAGACAGTAGTTGCCGTGAGCGTTATTCGACCCGACGCCCTGTACAGGGCGATCGTTGCATTTGTCGATGTGGTATTAGGTTGGTATTTTTCAATTTATTTTATCCTATACTTTATATACGTAAGACATTCTTGTATCGTTATAAACACTTGAGGAATATCAGATATCGTATAACTGCTGCGCATCAAAACTTGTAATATTAGTCTGGAAAATCGATAAACAAATAATATTTCATTTTGTAAAAATAATGGTTATGACTTTTGACACATTGATATTAATGACAAGATATGGCCATTGAACAAACAAAATGGAACATCTAAAAAATCGGCGCCATCTCTCACTCATGAACTACCACGGAGCCAGTGTTTTCACTTATGGTTTGGTTTTACACTAGAACCTGTAGAAATACTCCCTAAATTATCGTAAAAAAAATCAAACTAGCCTTATTTATTGCACCTAATTTTCAATATTTAAAGAACAAAATCATTCCAAGATTTGAATATCATTTCACGATTAAAAATCTTGAGTTTTGTGATGAAGAAGACGTTCTCATTTTTAAATTATAATAACACTTAGTCTCATATAAATAAAGAATATGTAATTAAGTAAAATATACCATTATTCTATTCTATTTATAATAATATTTATTTAAAAAAACAATTCTACACTTTTCTAGCTTTTTTGACCCTATCCCCTTCGATAAATCTTTAAAAAAATACATTGGGTGGGAATAAAAATCAGGGTTACATGAAATTCGGTTTTACCTCAAATTATATAAAACTCTGTCAAGTTGAAGAAACGCCTAAAGCCCTACCTATATTAGTAGATTTACCCTAAAACATTGCAAAATATCTAAAAGTTGAAACACCGCACAGACGCATGGCACGCAGTGGTGGTCGTGTTGGTGCTCAATAAACGTTTTAACACCAATGAGCCGGTGCCATTTTGTTTGTTCAATGACCCGGTCCGCACGCAGTAGTATAATAAGTCCATGTTATGACAAGTGTGAAGAAATAATTACTTGTTTGAGGGTAAACATGGTGAACATGGTGCACATGTATCATGAACATGATACCAAAAACAATACCTTACTTTTACTGGGATCTTACTTCGCTCATATGTGAGAAAAGAATTATTTATGAAAAGCTGTCCCAAATAAATTAATTTTTTCAGTGTATATAAAGAATGACAATTATTTTTCGTTTCATTTACGTCATTAATATATCTCAGTCATAAATAGACTGTAATAATAATAGCCTTATTTAAACGTATAAAGTTGTCAAGTAACTAACTTGATTTTAAGAGACCTAATGCATTTAAACAATCTATTGCTTGTTAAAATTTAGTTAAAAGTAGAATATTTTTTATAGGAGTTTGTGGTTAAGATTTTTTTAAGTAGGGTACAATACATATATATATTGTGACACTGTAGTAAAATTTATTCAATAATACTTAAGAAAACCAAAATATTTTGGGAAAATGTTACACAATATATCATTTTTAGGGTTCCGTAGTCAACTAGGAACCCTTATAGTTTCGCCATGTCTGTCTGTCCGTCTGTCCGTCCTCTCCGTCTCCGTCGTCTGGAAAAAAATGTTTTATTAGGGTAGCCCCTCTATATGTAAAGTGGGAAGTGATTGTTTTTTAATTTCAACCCTAACGTGTGATATATTGTTGGAAAGGTATTTAAAAATGAATAGGGGTTTACTAAGATCATTTTTTGATAATGTCAATAATTTCGGAAATAATCGCTCCAAAAGTAAAAAACAATGTGTCCCCCCCCCTCTAACTTTTGAACAATAAGTTTAGAAACTATGAAAAAAAATCTGAAAAGTAGGACTTTATAAGGACTTTCTAGGAAAATCATTTTGAACTTGGATGGAAAGTCGGAGCGCCTGCCGCGGAGCGTGCAGTGTTGCACGCTCCATGTTCGCGCACGTACCCACTACCGGGAGCAGTTGCAGGAGCGCGGAGATACCCACCTTTAAACTCATAAGTGGGAACACTTATTGTGACGGACGGGAAACTACGGAACCCTACACTGAGCGTGGCCCGACACGCTCTTGGCCAGTTTTTATTTTGTTTGTGGTGGACATTGCATTACAGTATGTACGTGCCTTTAGCTTGTAGTGTAGGGTGACTGCCTCGTTGGTCTAGTGGTTGTAGTAGTGCGACTGCTGATCATGAGGTCCTGGATTCGAATCCCGGGTCGGGCCAAAAAAATAATTATTGAGTTTTTCCGTCAAGAAATTCTCAGTGGTTGCCCGGAGTCAGGAAGTTGGCGGTGTCTCACCCCCGTGCCTCGGAAATCACGTAAAGCCGTTGGTCCTGCGCCTGATCTCTCTCCGGTCGTGTCGGTTTACCGTCCCATCGGATTATGAGAGTGAGGGAATAGAGAGTGCACCTGTGCTTGCGCATACACTTGGGCACTATAATCGTGGCCTGCGCCAATGGCTAGTCTCCGTTGAGGCGGGTCGCCGTGGCCGAAATTCATTGGACATTATTATTAGTGTGGGTATGATAAGCGCAGTTGTATGAAGTTTTGCCTCTGTTCGTTTTGTTTACTTAATTCATGTGGTGGAGACGTGTGTACTGTGCAGGCTCGGGATGTGCGCGCGGCGAGGCGGTGGCGCTGGCGACGCGCTGGGCGCGCGGGCGGCCCGCGCTGTTGCTGGCCGCGCACGCGCACGCGCCCGCCCTGCTCGCCTCGCACGCGCGACCCCTCGCCCTTGCACAGGTACACTACTGCAGCTAACTGTAATCGTGCGCTCGTTCTTGCGGCCTAGACATGCCTACTTTAGCTAAGGACCTTATCGCACGCGAATTGCAAACGAGTCACCTGCGAACAGCGCTATCGACACCATTTTGTAACAGTGGTGTTTTCGTCAGAATCCATTTTATTACCGAGTGTCCAAGACTTTGATTGCACGTGGTGAGCTCGCTGAGCGTCAATGACATGCACGCCGCGCGCTCGTTGTGAACTCGCAGAGAGCTTGCTACGTACTCGCCTTATTTTTAACTCGCTCCAAATCGCCAGTGTTATAAGGCTTCAATAACTACTCCAATTACTAACTAGTATTGTCCTCTCGCTCAATTTACATTTCTCAATATAATTATTATTTACTTGATCGACTTGACTTTGACACAGTTCTAACATGATGGGCCATTTAATTAAAAGATATAAAAGCCGTACTGCATAGAGAGTTTGATTTTCAAACTAATGTTCGTTTGTTAATTACTTGGGGCGTACCTGGCTGAATAAATATTTGAATTCCGAATGTTTTACTTTTGAAAATATAAGGAACTCATATATTGATTAATTTTTTTGATCAAGTCGAAGTTCGTCATCAATAACAAAAATAGAATTAACACAAAAAGATTTTAGAGCAACGATTTGTTAGATTAAAAGAGTTTATAGGAGAGAAGGCAAACGAGCCTGCGGTTCACCTGGTGTTATAAGTGCGTAAAAAACTGCAACACCAGGGGAAATTATAACTTATAGAAATTATAAATTATAGCTTGAAAGGAATCTTTAAGATTTTACATATTTTATTATTACATATTTCATAGGTACTTTGAATTGATTTTAAGTCGCCAGCATTTGGCATAATAATAATCCATTTATGAAATATGTCTGCAGGTCGGTATAGAAGAAGGTCATACTGCATGGTCGGCGGCGTTGGAGGCGTGCCGCGGCGGCGGCTGGCTGGCTATCATAGTGGGCGCTTCGCCATTCACTCGAGATCTGCATAACTTTTTATTAGGATACTCTCAGCGCCCAGTAAGCCTATTTGTGTTAAACGATTCCTATTCATTCCTTAACCTTTTACGTGAAAATCAGATAGCTCAGTAGCGCAGTGTATTAGCATATGGCTGCGTTCTTGCGGACCACTGATTCAAGTCTCGCGTTAAACTGCTGTGTGGTCACCCTATTTCGTCCGATGTCATAAGAGGCGAATATAATAATGTTATAAAAACTTATTACTTTTGATAGATGACGAAATAACCTTATCTTTTACGCCAGAATGACGAAACTGACTGACGAAACCCTTGCTAAGTGACTTTTGACTTCTGGTACTATGATCGTCACTCCGCCTACTAAGCGTGCCGAATGTAGCTAATCTGCCCTTATACGGGAAAGGCTCATAACTAGAACGACTTCATGCTACGAATAAATTCTTAGAGTTTCGTTAAAAATCGTATGCAAGTATGAATAATGCTATAAAGTGAAAAAAGTTAATTTTTGCTCAAATTCCTAAACATCTTAATTGTACAATATTCAGATTTATACAAAGTATCAACCGCGGGGACTGGTAACGCTACTCTATAATTTCTAATAGACCCCTGCATTCGGGTTCTTGAACTTTAATAATTCCCTTGTTAATTAGGTAATTTTAAGCCCGCTGCTTGATAAGCCAGCCAACCATCAAAACAAACTTGTCTTGAAAAATTTCACCACACTGGACAGATAGGTCGGTAAACGCAGAGCTGATAACTTCACAATAGTGTTGCTGCTTTCCACCATCGGTTTGTGAAATGTGAGTTGATTGTTTTTGATTTAATTTTTTTACCTTATTCTGTCAACAAAGCTTTTTCGTCAATCACCAAAGTGAACCGCGTGCAGTCGACGGTAGCATTTGGAGTATAAGATTTGTCTAGAAAAAGTTAACATACACTCTCTGATATCTTAAAAATTATTGCCTGCTACGGTCTTCAATCAGAAACTCTCGGTAATAATCTCTTCTATGTAGGCGACTTAATATATTTTTCACATTATCGTCGAGTACTTTTATGCTTAAATCTGTTACTAATGAAAAACGAGAGCCATGGTAGCTCAGAAGCTATGCTTGGTGTAAATTTTATAAGTATAGTGGATAAACTTTGGCGTTCAAGTCTTAAAAAGATAATACGAAACTGGCTAATTGCACCCGAACGAAGTCAGAGCAAGTCACTAGTTGCTTCTAAAATCGAAATATTTACACATACACAATATTAATACTTACAATGACAGTAGCATATATTACTGTAATATTTAACAGTTTAAAGAAAATATTTTTAAGACGTCTTCCCTTGTTACTAGATAGTGGATTTCCACGACGAGTTTCGCCTATGGGTGGTAGCTGAAGATCGTGAAATACCATCCTACATTGCAAACATGTGTGTCACAGTTATACTTGAGGTTGGTTTTAAATCTGTTATCAGTTTTGTTCATTACATTAATCTGATTTATGAAGCTTCTAGCTTATTTGAAATCGTGTTCAACACTTCCTTCAGTTACATCAGGAAGTCGTTTTATCAAATAACGATCGATTAAAAACAGCGGTACAAAACAGCTATTTCCGAATATTGGAAATTATCAACTACAGCATGATTACTGTTAATTTCTTATGGAGTTAGACTGTGAGCTGATACTATGAAAAACAAAGTCAGACGAATGTTCATCGTATGTTGTTTATTGTAACTGTATATTCGTATGCCTACACTCTTGGACGTCTTACACAAAAGTTACACAGACAGAAAACGTCCTTCTTCAAGAGGATCGGGATGTACTTACTTTAGTGCACGCTGGTATTTTTTATCTGCCCGATGCAATGATTCGCAGAATACCTACTTAAACTCATGATATATACAGGGTTATTTTTCAAAAAGTTCAAATATACAAAAATTATGATATACAGTTATTGCAGTTTTTAAAAATACGAGTAAATAAGGCTTCTACTTTTATTTGAAACTAGCTGATACACGCGACTTCGTCCTAGTTCTTAAAGCTTTAATAACTTTATGGCGGGTTATTGCAAAATAACGCTGTATAAAATATAATATCTATATGCCGTACGATACTCTCACAAACACTCGAAAATGGCTCCACTTATTTTAATAATATTTTTCGTATGTGTTTGAGTTCAAGCTCAATTTCAGCTGTATGTGGCTTAGATTCACAAATGGATTCGGTAGGTGAGGCTGTTGTGACGAGATCCAAAAACCACCTTGGATATATTGGCATTACCGTGATATATTACTCAAGTATCTCTATTCGGTTGTTGTGTGTGTAGCCGGCGGAAGGCGTGAGACAAAACATGGTGAGCACGCTGTGGGCGTGGCGCGGCTACGAGGCGGAGGCGACGCTGACGCGCGTGCACGCCTGCCTCGCCATGTTGCACGCGCTTGCGCAGGAGCGCCGAGCCTACATACCGCACGGTACGTGTGCTGTAGGCTGCTCGCAAACTGTACGCGCCACGAGGCTGAGGCGACGCTGACGCGCGTGCAAGCCTGCCTCGCCATGTTACACGTACTCGCGCAGGAGCGCCGCGCCTACATACTGCACGGTACGTGTGCTGTAGGCTGCTCGCAGACTGTACGCGCCACGAGTTTGAGGCGACGCTGACGCGCGTGCACGCCTGCCTCGCCATATCGCACGTACTCGCGCAGGAGCGCTGCGCCTACATACCGCACGGTACGTGTGCTGTAGGCTGCTCGCAGACTGTACGCGCCACGAGTTTGAGGCGACGCTGACGCGCGTGCACGCCTGCCTCGCCATGTCGCACGTACTCGCGCAGGAGCGCCGCGCCTACATACTGCACGGTACGTGTACTGTAGGCTGCTCGCAAACTGTACGCGCCCCGAGTTTGAGGCGACGCTGACGCGCGTGCACGCCTGCCTCGCCATGTCGCACGTACTCGCGCAGGAGCGCTGCGCCTACATACCGCACGGTACGTGTGCTGTAGGCTGCTCGCAGACTGTACGCGCCACGAGTTTGAGGCGACGCTGACGCGCGTGCACGCCTGCCTCGCCATGTCGCACGTACTCGCGCAGGAGCGCTGCGCCTACATACCGCACGGTACGTGTGCTGTAGGCTGCTCACAAACTGTACGCGCCACGAGGCTGAGGCGACGCTGACGCGTGTGCACGCCTGCCTCGCCATGTTGCACGTACTCGCGCAGGAGCGCCGCGCCTACATACCGCACGGTACGTGTGCTGTAGGCTGCTCGCAGACTGTACGCGCCACGAGTTTGAGGCGACGCTGACGCGCGTGCACGCCTGCCTCGCCATGTCGCACGTACTCGCGCAGGAGCGCTGCGCCTACATACTGCACGGTACGTGTGCTGTAGGCTGCTCGCAGACTGTACGCGCCACGAGTTTGAGGCGACGCTGACGCGCGTGCACGCCTGCCTCGCCATGTCGCACGTACTCGCGCAGGAGCGCTGCGCCTACATACCGCACGGTACGTGTGCTGTAGGCTGCTTGCAGACTGTACGCGCCAAGAGGCTGAGGCAACGCTGATGCGCGTATAGTGGACGGAACAATATAACCCATCTAAACGCGAAACGGCCATAAATCAACTTTTACACAGACATTCCCTTACGTTTAAATCTAAATTCGTTTCACATAATATTAGAGATAAATCCTGGCCGTCTATCAAAGGTGGATAATTATTTAATTGTAAAACCTATGACATCATCAAAAGTTCTTCAGTTGACTAGTTCATGCGTAAAATACCAATCTTCTTAGACATGCATATCTAATTAAAATATTTTTTAAAAAATTAAAAGATTTCCGAAGTATTGAGAAACTTAAGACGGGCGCCAAGCGCTGAGTGCTTAACTGCTTCTTTAATTTCAAATTGATCAAAAGAGACTCTTTATGTAATTTGTGAATGTATTATACTAGGTTGGAGCCGCTGGTACGATTGGGACTGGGGCGACGTACAGGCGTGCGCAGAAGCGGTGCGGTCGGTGCACAGCGACAGAGCTATGGAGATGGGGCGCGCGCTGTGTGGCGCACTGTACGGCGCGCGTGTGGCGCAGCAGGGGGACGCGGGCATACTGGGCGCCTTGCTGCGCGCTTGCCTGCCGCAGCGAGCGCTAGCACACGCGTGGGCGCCGCTCGCACTGGGCCAGCCGCTGCCGCATAGCACGCAGCTGCAGGTATGCACGCACACACGGTACAGCCGGGGCGCGGGCATACTCGGCGCCTTGCTGCGCCATCAAAGCTACAAATATTGAACTAACCATTATAACTACACTGATACGTAGATTCTCCAAATGTTTGAACCTTTAACTTTCTATTACTGGTTACTAATTCCATTCGTTATTATATTTTTAATTCATGAAGGTTTTTATATTTCCTCTCTATTTAATACAGCTTTTACTAACTAAATGATAAATGTTTGTTATAAACAGGCTTACATACCGGCGATCGAGTCGTGGCCGGAACTTGATACTCCTCAGCTTCTAGGACTACCTGCTAACTGCCGCGTTGCTTGGGAGTACAACGCTGCTAACAGTATTATCTCGGGTCTTAGAGGTACGTACGTGGTTAAGTAATGAAGGCATCCACAACTTTTTCTGCCACCAGGGTGGTACCACTTAAGCATGAGGCGAAGTTAATTTGTTAGAATCTGTAGAGATTAATGCTTCTTTATCTTAATCTAATATATAAAAATTAATATTTGTTTATTCGTATTTTATGCGCTGACAAAACGTTCATCAGATTGCGGTAAAAATTTGTCAACTTATTGCTCGCGTTTGTGCGTAGGTTACAGGCATAGTACAAATATTAACTGAATTAAATACATACATACACTCACTCCCACACACACACACACACACAGCATCGCATGCTTGCACACACATTAGGACTATTAAGGTTGATGTTGTTCTTTTTTTTCTTTGTTCTTTTTTTCTAATTTTAGAACGATCAAATTTAAATATGAAAGAGCGGGGCCGACTGGCACAAGTATATATATATATATATATATATATATATATATATATATATATATATATATATATATATATATATATATATATATATATATATATATATATATATATATATATATATATACTATAATACTTAAAAGATTTGGTCCCAACCTTTGATTGTTATAAAACAACTGTCATTGTTATAAAATTAAACATTTTGATTTGATTTTGCAATTTCTTAAAGTAGGTGGCGCGCATATCGTACCCACAAATTTTATTTAAAGGTTATATAATATGATTTAATTTCGGTTTTTTTAATTATTAATAATGCTATAAACATCACTAATATTCCCCTTAACCACTCGTGGTAAACTTAAATTGCTTGTGTTACGAGTGGTTCACGAAAGTAGTCGAATGGTGGATTCGAACCCTCGACCTTTTCGAGTTCGCGATCCGCGCCCTGCCATTAGGCTACTGTCGCTGTGAGTCAATGTATTATTATCATTTCTAAGTAAACTATATAACTCTTCCAAATTTAAAATTATATTTGCACAATTATTTCTTCTGTGGGGACAACGCGCCGTCTCCGTGCTTGCACATACGCTCGGGCACTGTCCTGTCCGGCGCAGATACCAGAAAACACAACACGAAGGGAAACGAATTAGGAGATGGGCAGTAGCGTCTTTCCCATAACGACTAGAAACAAAACACTGCGGTGTCCAACCCGCTTACCAGGGTAGACTAGGGAAAATATCACCCTTATGAGGCAATCCAAGGGGGAGGCCTAGGTTGACCCAAGTCTCGCTATTAACTTTTACAGATCAATAATAAAGATAGAGTAGATAAGGACGTTCATAGACTTCCGACTGCGTGCAAAGAACAAAAATTAAATATATACAACTTGTTTAATATACAGAATCACTGTCGAATTTTGACTCCTGGGCGACCACTAGTATATATAAATAGACATTGTCAACTGAGCAAGACGAAATTAAATGATGTGAATTTGTGATGGGTTGACTGGTAGAGAATGCCTTTAGGCATTAAGCCCGCCCTTTGTATCCTTTTTTTCTTCTAAGGCGATGCAATAAAGTTTTCACAATAAAATAAAATAAAATAAATGAGCAGCAAGCCTAATTTATTCGAATTAAAACAAACTCATATATTGACGCGTAATCGTACTATTTCTCAGGAGAATTGTATAATTACATCTTGAAATGATGATTTAATCCGAATGTTCAAAATGAAACGTTTCACTGATTGGAATCTTAGGACTGGTTGAGTCAATTGATTAAATTTTTTAAAATTGAGAAAATCGAAACGTTTTTACATTTATATCGATTTTGTATTTTATTTTTGGATTTTTAACATCAGAGTCATCTTTGCAACGTTCATACGTATGTCTTATCTTATAGATGTTTGCAGACCTAAAAATCACACTCTTTTTTTTTCAAACAATTCTCCCAAATTATTTAATTAAATTTATTAAGTAGTCGATAAATAATTGACATTACTGGCTGCTATATAACTATCAAACTTTTTTCTATTTATAGAGATATTGTGTCGTGATTATTTAGTACTTCATTAATTTATTTATTAAGTGCATTTTGTTTCACAGAATTTAATAGCACAATAATCGTGGAAAAGGATGATAGTGTAACACCGTTGAAGACTTTACTCGCTCTGTGGAAAAAGCTTATGTCGGGGAATCCACTTCTTAAAGCTGATTATCAAATAGAAAAGGTACAATGGCTTTTTATCGTATATCGAACATATTTTATTTTTAGACTCAACAAAAAGAAATCTGAATTGCGTTAAAATCCTAAAATATAATTCCTTTGTAAGAGTATATATATATATATATATATATATATATATATATATATATATATATATATATATATATATATATATATATATATATATATATATATATATATATATATACTTTTCTTACAAATACTGATACTTTGGTAATATATTAAGTATTATTTGCATGACATTTGTATAATGATTTCTTATATTTACGCGAACACTATACATTGATTCAAACTACTTTTACTGATTTTATCGCGTTTTATTTATTTTATTTTTAATACCAGACGTTTCGGGTGCTTTCCAGCACCCGTGGTCACGGGGACTGAGGTGACTGACGTCCCGATGTCAAAGTTACCCCGGAGTACCTTCAGCTTTTTAATTATTGTCTTTGGTCCGATCTACGCAGAATGAACTAACCGTGTTTGGAAGTCTTGCAGTGGTATGCTTGAGTGTAGTTTTAATTTTAATAATTAAAGGGGCCCAAGCAGGTGGTAGTACCCAGCCTCCTTCTCTATTGAAATTAGGATGTTTTTTAATTTCAATATTCTCACGTATCATCCTTGGTAGGAATCGATGTTCTTTCGCGAGGATTTATGGTCTATCAAATCTGATGTAATGGTTGGGGCCATCTAGAATATGACCGCAAACTGCAGACTTCCCGGAACGTTGATGCTTCACGTCAGCTATGTTTTCTTTTACGCGGGTTCTAATTGATCTCTTTGTTTGCCCTATATATGAGAGACCACAATCACAATCAAGCTTGTACACTCCTGAATCTTGTAGAGGAATATGACACTTGAGGGATGCTAAGAACTGACCAATCTTTTTCGGCGGCTTGTAGAATGTTCTAATAGAAGCTCGCTTCAAGATGTAGCCAATCTTGTCTGTGACACCTCTGACATATGGCAATACAGCAGGCACACGCTCGACTGTGACCGGCTTCACTCGGTCACTGTGACATAGGCCTATGGTGTTGTTAGGAGGTCATACTGTGTATAGAAAAAAGACCCATACAAACCGATATTTAAATGGTGAATCTCACCATCATCCTTCACAGTTAGCTACCGTGGGCAAATCTTTGTTACACAGAGTAAAAACACGGTTAGTTCATTCTGCGTAGATCGGACCAAAGACAATAATTAAAAAGCTGAAGGTACTCCGGGTTAACTTTGACATCGGGACGTCAGTCACCTCAGTCCCCCGTGACCATGGGTGCTGGAAAGCACCCGAAACGTCGGGTATAAAAAATAACATAAATAAACGCGATAAAATCCGTAAAAGTAGTTTGAATCAATTACATTTGTAATTATTGTATATAATAATCCGCGTCTTACTATGCAATGTTTCGACTTATAGCTAGATCGCTTCGCTATTTATCTTGAGCATGGCTAGGTTGCCCTACTTATAGATATTTGTGTGTACGGAGATCTGTTTTATTCTGATTATATGGGAACTGTCCTCTTGATTGAATATGCTTCGTTGTAATTTGTTGTGTTGAATATAGTTAAAGCATCTGTTCACACAATTGTTTTTTTTTTCAAATAAATTTTGTCTGTATTCTTAAATAATGTTACCGAGCTTGAGGTTCGTGACAATAAAAATTGCCGATAGAATTACCAAAATTAACTCTTTAATTCACTTTACACTAATTAAACTTAAAACACTAATAATTAAGCACACTAATTCACTTTATTCCGCTCCGAAGCTTCGCTTGTCTTGACAAATTCAATACTTCCCCGATCGCATCTTGCAGCGTCTATAAATACACATTAGCACCGAAACATCCAAAACATTCAAGTAAATACGCGCACCAATCGAAAAGGCGCCGAAAGTTCGAGTGTCGGCTTCTAGAAGCTTTGTTCTTCGTTTCGATACTAGATGGCGCTGTCGGTTGAAAGATTAGTGATGTCATTTTATGGAAAGCTCCCCCTCGCTCTCGTCCCTGACACTAGATGGCGCTAGTGCCGGGTACATGACGTCAACTTAGGCGCGCAACAATAATATATGACCACTATATTCCAATTGTTAGTTATTTAAATTTTAATTTCCTAATTGCTGTATTGGATCTTAGGCCTAGATTTCATTATGTCTTCACTTTTAGATATCTAAAAAATATTTTTTATAGGATAGGGTGACAAACGACCACACAGTCCACCTTATGGCCCATAGACATCTACATCTATCCTCGATAATGAATCAAAGTACAGATGCGTTGTCACAAGTGAGGACTGAGATGGAATGCCCCGTTTCCAGTAAAAAGGGTTTTTTTAATACATTAAGTTACTGTTTTACGCTGGTATTCTGTGAGAGCGTGGTCCTTCCCCGGTCGAGCCGACCCATTCGTGCTACAACTGTCTACTAATATAACTGCAGCATAGCTCTACCACGTTGTTTTAAAAAAAATCAGCTTTTTGAAAGCATGATATGTGTAAGTGCGTGCGCGTGCGCTTGTGCGTTTGTGTCCGTTACTACGTTCGTAATTCGTATGTATTGGTACGTAAGATTACTATTCGTTTTGCCTCCCCAAAAACAAATGATGATATAGTCTTCAAACCAATGTAAATCATTGTTATATTGAACAATGAAAACTTACAGTTTTTATTAAGATTGATTCTGTTGTTTTTTAATGTGTCATAAGTCTTTAAGGTTATTTCCATTTTACTGCATATTTATGCACAGGAATCACATACCTTAATATTATATTCCTTTCACCATCAGTGGATGGGCCAAGGGATCGGCCGGTCTTCGCCGCTTTATTGCAATATTATTATTTTATATATGGATTTTATATATGGATATTATTAATATATCAGTGTCTGCATTTTCGTCCGATTATAATCTGTTGGTCTTCAAGGCAAGAGTGGATAGGATTTTGTTCAGCTAAAGAGTGCGATTTATTATCTAAGACTTCATCACCACACACAGTCTGGTGGAAATTTAGTCTACCACTGGCTTATAATAAATAAAATGTCGAGCCAAGTCGAGCAAAAATGCGGCAAGGCCGTACCATACTTTTCTCGAAGCAATTCAGGCCATTTTCGACCCCCTATAACTTCGTAGTGGATAGCACTAGAAACCTGAATTTTATAAAGTAGGCATTGTATAAACATGGTATATTTTAAATTTCATACAATTTGAACCAGTAGTTTAAGAATTATAACTAGTCAAAGTTTCTTAATTTTGTCACTCACTGACTGAAGATCAGATAAGCGTGTCTCGCCATCAAACGTAAAAGTTTGGCGAGAATAGCTATGTAAGCCTATTCTTTGTATATTTTTTTTGATTAATAAATTAAAAAAATTATTTTAAATTAACATATTATGAAATTGATCTATCAATAAACGCTACTAATTTGCAATACATTTTCGATACTAAAAAAATAAAAACAAAAATTTTGAACTAAATAAATCAATCAATTAAAAACTATCATAATTAATATAATATGCGCCCTATTAGTAGTATTGATTGATGGATCAACTTCATAATATGTTAATATAAAGGAAAAAAATGTAAAATATCAGTGCCATAGGCTTTTATTGCGTTCACCTGTTACACTCTATTTTTTCCAGACGGTAAAAAAATCATCTAGTAATTAGAATTTAGTGAAATAATTTGATAGTTGTTATAATATATTATATGATTGTATAGCAGTAATTAGACGTGCGTTTGAATGACACGTGTTGTTTGGGTGGTGGCAGGAGGCACATGGGTGGTGGGGCAGCGTATGCGCGGGCGAGCTGCGCGAGGCGCGCGCCGCTGTACGCCGCGTGCACACTGCGTTGGTACACGCGCGCGCACGTGCCCTACCGCTGCACACGGTTAGTACACCTTGCATTAAATCACATGTGGTGGGGCGGCGTGTGCGCGGGCGCGCTGCGCGAGGCGCGCGCTGCCGTGCGCCGTGTGCACGCCACGTTGGCGTATGCGCGCGCACGCGTCCTGCCGCTGCACACGGCTGGTACACCTTGCGTTAAATCACATGTGGCTGGGGCGGTGTGTGCGCGGGCGTGATGCGTAGGCGCGCGCTGCCATGCGCCGCGTGCACGCCGCGTTGGTGCAAGCGCGCGCACGCGACCTGTCGCTGCACACGGCTAGTACACTTTGCGTTAAATCACATGTGGCGGGGCGGCGTGTGCACGGGCGAGCTGCGCGTAGGCGCGCGCTGCCGTGCGCCGCGTGCACGCCGCGTTGGCACACGCGCGCGTACGCGACCTGCCGCTGCACAAGGCTAGTATACTATGCGTTAAATCACATGTGGTGGGGCGGCGTGTACGCGGGCGGGGTGCGGGCCGCCGTGCGCCACGTGCACGCCGCATTGCGCGCGCACGCAACCTGCCGCTGCAAACGGCTAGTATCACCTTTCGTTAAGCCAACGTCCAACCATCAGACCATGATGGAAAAGGAATTTAGTCATATAATTCTAATATAGAAGCGGCAAAAAAGAATTCACCGCCCTATTTAGTCCCTCGGTGACCACATAAAGCGAGTACTAGAGAATATGTTGAGACTATAGGGAATGCCAATAAATACCATTGGATTCCTTTAGATGAAGGATGGATAATAATCACATTTACGCAAAACATTAAATGCTTGGAATAACTACGGGAAGTCAGTGTCAAAGGCACACATAGGCCTCTAGTACTTAGATCGCCAAACAAGTATTACAATTATGTCGAATCCTCTAACAGCGGGAAAGGACCTTGTACAGCTAAAACTTTTTATGAGCTGATGAAGAAGATGAAAGTGAACCCGTATACTCCAAAATGTATCCTGTAATGATCCAGGCTGCGCAATATATTTTAACCAAATCAATATTACCAACTTATCTCTTTGCATGCTTCTCCACCGAGTCCAAAGTTGCAATAGACAGTAAAAATAACAATAAAATAAATACGAACCAAAGAATGACTATGACGTAAATTATTAGTCGACGTCGATCGAGCTGTTTGATTATTTGAGGACCCGCCCCGCTTTATCCACCGCTTTTTAAATTGTCGTCTAGATGAATTTAAGCTATCTTTGGACATAAAAAACTGTCGCATCCTGAGTCTTCTGCGTTTGCATCTCCGTAAAAATAATACGAGCCTACTGGCGTCCTCTTCTGAGTAGATTTTGAAAAATACTGATAGTGAGCCCACATCGACATCGATCAATTGTCGATCGATGATTAAACAACGTTTTATCGACCACTATCCGTCGATAAGCTTAAGTTACCACACCAATCGATCGATATCTATCGACGTCCATCAATGGCATCGATCGACGATCAATCAACAGCCTTACTGATAATTTTATTATATCCGACAGCACAATCTGTTATGTGCTTAAAGTATTAAAATATATAAGTTTTAAAATATGAAATATATAAATATAATACGCCACCGGCATTAAGGCAAAGCGAGTGCCTTTCCAGTATCTTTATTCTATTACTATTTGAAGATTGAAATAAGGCGCTCGCCGCTCGCGTTTTTGGATGTTGTGTGCGTGAAGCAGTGAAGTGCGTGTTGCAGGTGCCGGAGGAGTGGCAGCTGGTGTGGGCGGGGCCGCGCGCGCCGCCCGCGTACGTGGCCGAGCTGAGCGCACGCGCGCACACAGCGCTGCGCCGCCTGCACGCGCTCCGCGACCACTCACTGCCCGACGGTAACGAGTTACAATATCGCCGCATTCTTTCTATTATATACGTTATGACCACCCTCTATTGTAGCATATATATTAGTGTTAAGCTTAAAGTCCTAGACAGAACAAGTCTCACCTTTTTAACACCTTCCAACATTACAACCCAGTGACCTGGCTACGTACAATTGTATTGTCCAATACCTACGTATAATTTCCAATCGGAATCTATATTTATGCAAAAAATCGATTTTATCATCTTGCCGTATCTCTATGCTACTTTTGTTCATAATAATATATGTATTGCCACAGTGATCAGAAAATTGGCTAGGTGATAATCAATGATCCTCGCCAATTCTCGGAAAAATGGACGACGGAAAAATGTGTCGATCTCCCATATGATAAAATTGGGCTGTTCTTCCTATCCTTTTTATTTTTCTTATTAAGCTATGTCTGTGGTTGTTTTGTATAATTTTTTGTTTGCTTGGGGGGCGCATTTTTCTTTTTTTTTTGGCGGGAACTTGAGTGCCGTCGATCTATATGACTTGAAACGAATATTGAAATAGTTATTCTATTTCAATATTCGTTTTTGACGAATTGATTGAAGGTTTGACTTTGTTTGTTGTTAGCCGAGCACATATACATTGTGTTAGTGTGCGTAGGCCTCGGGAGCGCACAGTCACGATCGCGCACACGAACGTGCCTTCCAGTACACGTCACTACGGCAATCAAGACGAAACATTAATTGTGAAATAGTATGACTATACGTAAAAGTGGAGCGTTCTTTAGTATTAAACTTTTATGAAAATAATGATACAAGTACGGAGTTTGATGGCGATATCTCTTATTGTGATGCGTCATAATTTTATAGAGAATTTATTATTTATTTATAACACGAATAATATTTCAACTCAAGGATAATCTGTGCCGATGGTTGTGCATTAAGTTTTTTTTTTTTTGGTAAAAGTGAGACTTTCGATTGGTCCATAAATGGACGCCGACCCCCCAGTTTCCATACATCCGTATAATAAATGTGTTGTTGTTCACCAAGCAGCAGTGTTGGACCTGCGACTGCTGGTGCGCCCGGCGCGCGCTTTGTGTGCGCTGCGTGCGCTCGCCGCCCAGCGCGCCGCGCGCCGCACCGACCAGCTCACGCTCGCCGCCGCCTGGGACGACGCCGGTAAACTACACAGTACACACCCGCGCCTACCAACAAAACTAACCATGCGCCGCGCGCCGCACCGACCAGCTCGCGCTCTCCGCCGCCGCCTGGGACGACGCCGGTAACTACACAGTACACACCGGCGCCTACCAACAATACTAACCATGCGCCGCGCGCCGCACCGACCAGCTCGCGCTCGCCGCCGCCTGGGACGACGCCGGTAAACTACACAGTACACACCCGCGCCTACCAACAATACCAACCATGCGCCGCGCGCCGCACCGACCAGCTCGCGCTCGCCGCCGCCTGGGAAGACGCCGGTAACTACACAGTACACACCCGCGCCTACCAACAATACTAACCATGCGCCGCGCGCCGCACCGACCAGCCCGCGCTCGCCGCCGCCTGGGAAGACGCCGGTAACTACACAGTACACACCCACGCCTACCAACAATACTAACCATGCGCCGCGCGCCGCACCGACCAGCTCGCGCTCGCCGCCGCCTGGGAATACTCCGGTAACTATACGCCTACCAACAATACTAACCATGCGCCGCGCGCCGCACCGACCAGCTCGCGCTTGCCGTCGCCTGGGAAGACGCCGGTAACTACACAGTACACACCCACGCCTACCAACAATACTAACCATGCGCCACGCGCCGCACCGACCAGCTCGCGCTCTCCGCCGCCTGGGACGACGCCGGTAACTACACAGTACACACCCACGCCTACCAACAATACTAACCATGCGCCGCGCGCCGCACCGACCAGCTCGCGCTCTCCGCCGCCTGGGACGACGCCGGTAACTACACAGTACACATCCACGCCTACCAACAATACTAACCATGCGCCGCGCGCCGCACCGACCAGCTCGCGCTCTCCGCCGCCTGGGACGACGCCGGTAACTACACAGTACACACCCACGCCTACCAACAATACTAACCATGCGCCGCGCGCCTGCACCGACCAGCTCGCGCTCGCCGTCGCCTGGGAATACGCCGGTAACTACACTGCCTACCAACAATACTAACCATGCGCCGCGCGCCGCACCGACCAGCTCGCGCTCTCCGCCGCCTGGGACGACGCCGGTAACTACACAGTACACACCCACGCCTACCAACAATACTAACCATGCGCCGCGCGCCGCACCGACCAGCTCGCGCTCTCCGCCGCCTGGGACGACGCCGGTAACTACACAGTACACACCCACGCCTACCAACAATACTAACCATGCGCCGCGCGCCGCACCGACCAGCTCGCGCTCTCCGCCGCCTGGGACGACGCCGGTAACTACACAGTACACACCCACGCCTACCAACAATACTAACCATGCGCCGCGCGCCGCACCGACCAGCTCGCGCTCTCCGCCGCCTGGGACAACGCCGGTAACTACACAGTACACACCCACGCCTACCAACAATACTAACCATGCGCCGCGCGCCGCACCGACCAGCTCGCGCTCTCCGCCGCCTGGGACGACGCCGGTAACTACACAGTACACACCCACGCCTACCAACAATACTAACCATGCG